GCAAAAGAAGTGGGACGCCCAAGTAGGTATCAATAAATTACATGAAATTAAACCCAATATCGGTTACACCTACTTGGGTTGTCAGTCCAGATTTGAAGAGGTCATTATGCGACGCTGTCGTATTGGCCATTCCAGATATACACATGAGTATTTGTTACAGGGTGAAGATCCTCCGTTTTGTATCACTTGTGATGAAAGAATCAGTCAAGCATGTCCTGCTTGACTGTATTGATTTTGCCATCACAAGGGGTACTTATTTCAATGTTTCATCTATTAAGGATCTTTTTAATAGCAGTTCTCATTTAGTTATTGTTTTTTTAAAAGAAATTGAATTGTACCATAAATTTTGATTAATATATGTTGTGTATATAATATACTTTTTATTATTGGCAGGATAAATACAATAACTAAGATTGTTAGTGGCTGTATACTCGAAGGGGGTTGAAGTAATGTAAAATGATTGTCCCCTGGAGAGGGTATGTAAGACCACGTCATTCAAAGTAGATTTATTCTTACCATTGTCTTTAATCGTAGTATATATGTTATTTTAATATGGCTAAGTATGTTAATAATCGCCAACACCTGAAGGGATGATGTAAATCCGGCTGGGATCCATGCAGGTAGCAAAAGTACTGTAAGTCCCCATGGGCCCTAGCATGGTGATCTATCTTCAGTGGCTGGCGATCTATAGCTCATTTTTATCTTGTCTTGTTTCGTATGATGTAATATCTTTATGGCTACCTACTAGTTTTAGATGTAATCTGTGATACATCTAGTTATTTTACTGTCCTTCGTTGACAGGTTTTTATTTTGTATAAATATGTGTATTATTAATGTACTTCTCGTCACGATATGGCTGAAATACTGCCGATGTGACGTTAAATCTTAACTCACTCACTCACTGTCCATGGAAGTGGCCCTCCATCTCGCTCACGATCACCAGTTGAGCCGCCATGAGTAGCTCACGTCACATCATTCAATGGAATTGCAGAGGACTGCAGAATACGTTTAATGATTTACAATTACTTATACAAGATTTTAAACCATCAGCATTTTGTTTACCGGAAACATACTTAAAAAATACCGATAAGCTTGACATTAGGCAATATAATTCATTTCATTCTTTCTCACCTCCGGGTGCGAAAGCATCTGGAGGTTCTTCAATCTTAGTGAGGCAGGGCGTCATCCATAGCCCTGTTCCTCTCCACACCCCTCTTCAGGCTGTTGCTGTCCGTGTGACCATGCACATTGTTTTTACTTTGTGCTCAATCTATATTCCACCATCTTTTTCTCTCCGACAGTCTGAACTTCAAGCTCTCTATGATCAACTCCCCAAGCCCTGTATTATTATTGGTGATTTGAATGGGCACAATCCCCTTTGGGGTAGTGTTCAGACAAATAACAAAGGGAAGCTGTTAGAAGATTTCATATCCAATGATTTATGTATACATAATGATGGTTCAAAAACATATCTTCATCCAGGTACAGGTACCTACTCTGCTCTGAATTTATCAGTTACAGATTCAGAATTATTAAACGAATTTGAATGGTCCGTCCACAAAAACCTCTGTGGTAGTGATCATTTCCCAACCGTTTTAAAATCTGTCATACCTTCAGATGTTCCTCCTTCAACAAGATGGAACTTTACTAAGGCCAACTGGTTTTTGTTCGAAATACTTGCATCCAATCAATTAAAACCTGACCTATTTCTTAACGTTACTGACCCTGTACAATTATTTTCTGATAAATTGAACAAAATAGCTGATGAATGTATTCCTAAGTCCTCTGCAAATCCACATATTCGTAAACCATGGTTTAACGATAAGTGCAAACAAGCTAGGAAGGCACGGAAAAAGGCTGAGCACTATTTCCGTCGCCATCCAATGGTACATAATTTGAATAAATTTAAAATTTTAAATGCTAAAGCCAGGCGTACGTTTAAACAAAATAAACGCCAATCTTGGCAAAATTATGTTTCCAAGATAAATTCTCGTACGCCCATGTCTAAGGTATGGAACATGATCCAGAAAATTAAAGGAAAGGGTTCTAAATCTAGTATCCATCACCTTAAAAATGGGAATGAATTACTAACCGATACTTCTGATATCGCTAATAAAATTGGTGAAACTCTGGCTCAACACTCTTCATCCTCATACTATGTCCCTAAATTCCAAAAATTTCAAAAGCAGCAAGAAAAGAAACCTGTAAATTTTAGTTCCGATAATGGAGAAGATTACAATGAAACCTTTTCCATTCATGAGCTCAATACTGCCCTTGGGCAAGCTCATGATAATGTATATTATCAGACCCTGTAGCAGTATCAACTCTTAAAACATTTACCGCAATCATGTTTAGAAACCCTCTTGAGGCGAGACCAATTTAATTGCTAGGATTACGGATCCGCCGACACCATTTTTCGCCAAATCGAAAAAAAAAAAAATGAAATTCTATCATTTTTAAAAAAAATATTCTACCCGACACCCGACGTCCGACATCGATCGATAAGCCTTGTTGTGAGAGAAATACATGTTACGGGAAGTAACTCTAGTTTTTAACTAAAATTCCTTACGCACATGTGTCGGCAAATTCCATCGGGGGGGGGGGGGGGGGGAAATTCCCAACATGTTCCAACAGTTCGAAGGCTACTTCGATCATGTACAAGCCACCACCAAAGGTATGTATAACAAAATCTGTAAACGTCAATTTCTTAGGGAAAATTTTGAAAAATAATTTGACACCTGAAAACCTTTTATAATTCTATGTTGATTGTTGAAGCTAGTATAAAACTTGGATTGTTTTAGACAAACCCAGACTTTTAAACTAGTACTCTGTCAGTGTGTGTGCATGTGTTTTGCCAAATGTTCAAGGGAACTATTATTGAATAAAGTCATATGTTGACATGATTAGAATAAATACAGGTTAATAAATTTAGCATTGATTAAATTTTTAATAGAGAACAATTGTCTACTTTTAATGAAAGTGCAGTGTTACAAGATTGAATACAAACTTCAAACAATGATTTTTAAACATCTGATGACTTGTATTTTCAGATGGAAGTCGAAAAACTTCAAGAGCATATTGATGCCCTGTCTGAGCTCCTCATGCTGCCATGGACCTACAAATTTAAGACAGTCTATCAAGATATTCAGCAACTGGTCCAGTGTATGAGAAAGTACATTGACTTCCTGAGACAACAGTCCCAGCGGTCCAAAGGACGACACAATGCTAGTGCACCTTTGCGAAACCCTTCTGTGAATTTTTCTCTTGCAGTTATTGAGGCAACTGTTGGTCCTGTGGGGGAGACTTATTTGGATCTTGACAATACATTGGCTTCAGAGGATGAATACACTCCTGTGGAAATCAGCAACTATATATCCCCCAACCTGTAGATACAAGAGAAGAACATGGATTGACAATCTAAGTATGTCTGTACCAGTGGCACATTACAGTTACTTTCAGGGCAATTATCTCGGACATATACATTTTGTATGGCGTTTGCCAGGTGATAAGAGCGAGAGGTCAGATGAAAATACAGTTAAAACTTTGCGGGTAGTCCACAAGTCATTGCCAGATTATTCAACTAGACAGATGAAGAAAGAGTTCTATGAGAAATGACAACAGTCTACAGGAGTGTCTCCAGCTCTTCTCAGAAACATGTACAAATTCTTGACCAATGACAGTAGTGGTGCTGAAAACACTGCACAAGCTGCAATTGATCAACGTGTTAAGATGTGTTGGAGTTAAATGATCCTGATGTGGCATGGGATTTACGGAGACTAAATGGCAACCCAGACAGTACACAGTTTGATACCTTCTGGGATGAAGTTGAAAAATACTTCCATGAAAGGGACCTTGCCGTCCACGAGCGGAGACATGGATCACAACTGTACCTTCCATATGCAATATCAATTGACGATCTTGTGTCAACGATGAGAGGTCGTGTAGATCCAGAAGTACTCATTCCCTCCAATGAATGGGTGAGACTGCAGTTCTGGCCAGCCAATCCAACGACGAGGACTGCATTCCACTACACTGGTCGTTTCAATGTAAAGTTTTCACTTCAAACAAGACAGATACGTGGAAAACATGAGGATAGTCACTATGTGGCTGCACAGTTGGTCTACTTGAAGAAATTTGCTGTGACATTGAGAGAGCATGTCGATTTCTTTTGGCTTGACGACAAAGCCATTGTTCCTATTGGAGAGCCTGGATTACCTGTAGGTACTGGTGTTCGCCAACATAATGCTTCTCTTTCCAGTACTACTGCCAGCTCTCTTACAGCATTAGATCATGATTATAATGTGTGCGGGGACATCCCCTCTGTTGCTCTGCACTGTGACATTCCACAGGATGCCAGTGATTCTTTCTTCAATGGAACATCCTTTGTGACTGTAAAGGACAAAGTGTTCCGTCCGTCCAATGCTATTCGTCATGGTGCTGAAACAACAAACATCATCAAATCCCATTTCAGTACTGATGATGGCAATTCAGAGAAAGCTATACTCATAATGTACACGGATGGTGGCCCTGATCACCGCACTACTTTCGGATCTGTGCAATTGGCTATGATAGCCATGTTTGCATGGCTCGATTTGGACATGTTGATCACGGCAAGGACAGCACCAATGGGCAGTTGGGCAAACCTGGCCGAAAGAGTGAACTCTGTTCTGAACCTTGCACTACAAAATGTCTCCTTAGAGAGGGAACGGATGACAGAGGAACTGGAAATGAAAATGAAGAGAGTGTCAACCCTGAAAACTGCAAGAGACATTGCTTCTAGGTATCCAGCTTTTAAAGAAGGCCTTACAGCTGCCGTCTTGCCAGTTCTGAAGTTACTGGAGGAAAGGTTTTCTCACCTGAAAGTCAAGGGGGATGCGGTGATAATAAACAGTGCTGCAAGCAATGAGAGTGTTGAAAATTTCTTCGGAATTTTAAAAGATCATATAGATGATAAACTTGATATGAACAAGTTGATGAAGAAAGATCTGGAGAAATAAGATAAACTAAATGACTTCATGGATCGCCATTGTCACTGTCGGCAGTACATCTTTCAAATCAAGAAATGTGATCCTCACAGAGTTGACGATTGTTGGTATTGTGTCATCAATCCTCCAAGACTGCCTGATGATGAGTTTGAACAATTGAATTTCATTCCTGATCCTGTTGTATCTCCTGAAAGTGGAGATAAGTTTGAAGAGTTTCATTCTGTCTATGGTACAGACACTACTGATTCAGCTAGACCCTCCTTGAGTTCTGTCACCATGTCTTCAATAAGAGACAAGCAAAACAGGAAAATTCTCACTGCAAACAAAGTTCGAGAGTCAGTAACATGTGTTGAATGTCGTAAACCGAGATGTGTTTATTCAGACACCAGACTTTCCTACAAAGACAAAACAGCCTTGATCCGCATGAGAGAGGGACGTTCTTACACTTGTGGGTCACCACTGTTTCCTCCAGCATCTCCATACTTTGAAACGCTAGTTGTGAAAGAGAGTCTCAGATGTTCGTCCACAATGAAGACTACATACTATGCCAGTAATACATGTTCTTTGCCAAGTGTTTGCTTTCACTGCGGAATTGCCAGGTCAGAAGATTTTGCTGATGACAGTGTAATCCATGAACTTCAGGCTATGTACAGCACTGTGAGGCCTATCTGTCGATCTTGTAAACAATCAGGAAAAGAAGCTGCAGTGAGGGGGAAACGTAATGTTAAAAAACTGAGAACATCATAAATCATTTTGCATTAACTGATCTGTAAATCATGCAGGTACTAGTCACATGATGGAAGATATGTTAACTCCTGTGTTTTGTGTGAAATCAGAAATGGTACCTCTTATTTTGTAAATACATTTTCCAATTTTGATGTGATGTGGTGGAAGTCTTGGCCCGAATTTGTGCAGAATGGGTCTGCTCATGTATGTTATCCTTTTGTTGTTTTATGACTGCTTTTAATAGGAGGTGTGTACCTCGTAATTCCATGAGGAAAATGCTGTGTGATACTGAGTGAAAGTGGAAAAAAGTACTTTTTGTAACATTTCAGGTACAGTTTTTGTAGGTGCTAAATGGTTATTTGTTTTGAAGCCATTTAATAAGTGCCATTTCATTTTAGTGCATTCCACATGTTAGCATAACACGTCAGTCATGAGTGTTACCTGATCATTTAACACGATAAAGTGATACTGGACAGAGTATTTCAAGTACTTGTATGTGCCAAATGTTTTCTTTTGTTTTGAAGTCAAGGGCTATTTAATTTAAGTGCATTCCACGTGTTAGCATAACACGTCAGCCATGAGTGTTACCTGATCATTTAACACGATAAACTGATACTGGACAGAGTATTTTAAGTACTTGTATGTGCCAAATGTATATTTGTTTTGAAGCCAAGTGCTGTTTTAATTTCAGTGTATATTACATTGTTTTTATATTTTTAAAATACAATAAAACTTTAATAAGTTAAAAGCTTGTTGTTGAAGTCTACCTGCTTGTGGAAAACTGCCAAAATATACCTGGAAACCCTGGTCATCAGTAAGGAGTGTCATTAGATAAAGGGACTATAGTGCATTGCTTGCACCATGCGTGGTGGGTAATACTGAAATACTTTCGTAGCTTCTGTGGCACAAGTGAGGGATTTTTAAAAAAATTTTTTTTATTTCCTCCTATCAGCATTCCTGCCTCCTAAAATCCGTAATACCTGCGAAATTTTTTTTGCTGATCCTACTGATCCTTCAAATTATGGACCAATTTCATTAACAAGCTGCGTTTGCAAAACCATGGAACGCATGGTCAATAACAGATTAACAAGGTACTTGGAATCAAATGACTTAATAACAAATATTCAATGTGGTATCCGTAAATATCGCAGTACAATTGACCATTTAGTTCGACTGGAATCATTCGTTAAGAATGCCATTGTAAATAAGCAACATGCAGTGTCTATCTTTTTCGATCTAGAAAAAGCATATGACACTACATGGAAGCACGGTATTTTAAAAGACTTACATGACTTTGGATTGCGAGGCCGTTTGCCTCAATTTATATCCAAATTTTTATCTGACAGACAATTTCAAGTCCGCGTGGGTTCTACCATGTCTGATCATTATAATCAGGATCAGGGTGTCCCACAAGGCAGTATTTTGTCTGTCACATTGTTCAGTATTAAAATAAATAGCCTCTCTAAGGTTTTAAATGACTCCATTGATGGATCTCTTTTTGTGGATGATTTTAACATATCATGTCGTGGTAAAAACATGCATACTATCGAAAGACAATTACAATTATGTCTAAATAAGATAAATAGATGGTGTTTAGAAAATGGTTTTAAATTTTCGAAATCCAAAACAAACTGTTTACACTTTTGTAGGAAATACAAACCCCATAAAGACCCTGATTTAGTTTTAGATAGCACTCCGATTAAAGTTGTAAAAGAGGCTGAATTCCTGGGTATTATTTTTGACCACCATTTAACCTTTTTACCACATATAAAATATTTGAAAAATAAATGCCTGAAGGCCCTTGACGTGCACCTACTGAAAGTTGTTTCAAATTCCAAGTGGGGAGGGGATCAGAAAACCCTCCTCCAACTATACAGGACACTTATCCGCTCTAAACTGGATTATGGCTCCATCATATATGGTGGAGCCTGCAAAAGTAATTTAAAATTATTAGATAGTATTCATCATCAAGGCCTGAGGCTTGGCCTTGGAGCCTTCAGAACATCCCCTGTCAATAGTCTGTATGTAGAGGCGGATGAGCCCTCACTAAAATAACGTCGAATAAAACTCTCATTGCCATACCTCACAAAGCTCTATTCAAATCCTACTAATCCTGCATATGATTGCGTTTTTAATCCTCTCTATGAGGATATGTACCATAAAAAGTCATCCCTTGTTCCTCCACTTGGTCTACGAATCAAACCTGACATTTCTGCTGCTAAAATCAATCTTAAAAATATAGCTCCAACTCAGCTTTTGTCCTCTCCCCCATGGCGGTTGGTACAGCCAGAGGTTGACCTGTCATTAACTAAACTTAAGAAATCAGAAACCAACCAACTAATCTATCAACAAGAATTTAATGAATTGCGGAACAACTATAACACATTCAAATCTATATTTACGGATCCAAGGATGGTGACGCGGTTGCTAGCGCCACCGTCGTTGGATCCAGGATTATGTCTTCACGACTACCCGATAATAGTTCTATTTTTACAGCCGAATCCCATGCAATTTTAACAGCTCTAAAATATATAGGTCAACAAGCTAGGCATAAGCAATTTTTATTATTTTCGGACTCCCTCTCGTGTCTTCAGGCTATTAAGAATATCTCATGTAAGCATCCACTTTTAATTGAAATTATTGAATTTTATAATCAACTTGCTACTGGTCAATATGACATCGTATTTTGTTGGTTACCCAGCCATGTCGGAATCATTGGTAACACAAAGGCCGATGCTGCCGCCAAGGCAGCACTCACCAAATCTGTGACACCACTTCTTATTCCATACAGTGATTATAAACCCGTGATTAGATCTTACATCCGTGATCTAATGCAAAAGAAGTGGGACACTCAAGTAGGTATAAATAAATTACATGAAATTAAACCAAATATTGGCAACACCTACTTAGGTTGTCAGTCCAGATTTGAAGAGGTCATAATACGACGATGTCGTATTGGCCATAGCAGATATACTCATGAATATATATTGAAAGGCGAGGATCCTCCATTTTGTATCCCTTGTGATGAGAGAATCACGGTCAAGCATGTCCTGCTTGACTATGTTGATTTTGCCATCACAAGGGATAACTATTTCAATGTTTCATCCTTAAAGGATCTTTTTATTATAAGTGCTCGTTTAATTATTGACTTTTTAAAGGAAATTGAATTGTTACTAAAATTTTGATTGATCTGTTTTGTATATAATATACTTTTTATAATTGGTAAAATAAATTTGATAAATAAGATTGTCCGTGGCTATACCCTCGAAGGGGGTTGAAGTAGTGTAAAATTGTTGTCCCCCTGAGAGGGTATGTAACACCACGTCTTTCAAACTGTATTTATTTGATACCACGTTTTTAATCGTAGAATGTGTGTTGTTTTAATGTTCGGCTAATTGTGTCAGCCATCGCCAACACCTGAAGGGATGGTGTAAATCCTGCTTGGGTCCATGCAGGTAGCAAAAGTACTGTAAGTCCCCATGGTCCCCAGTGAGGTGATCTATCTTCAGTTGCTGGCGATCTATAGCCTTTTTTTATATTGTATCGTTAGGTATAGTGACATCTTTTTATGGTTGTATACTAGTTTTAAATAATATTCCTTGATCATCTAGGTATTTTACTGTCCTTTGTTGACAGGCCGTTATTGTTTAAATGTATATATTATGTATAACTTTTGGTAGTCACGATATGGCTGAAATACTGCCGATGTGACGATAAATTTGAACTCACTCACTAGTAATCATTTTAGCTATACGGCCATAGCCAATGGCCAAGCCGCTGATCACCGATGAATGATACGTTGCGTTTACTAACATTTTACCGTCTGTAACTGGAGTAGTCATGCTTCTTATAGCATTATATGGGGGCTAACCTCTAATTGAACTTGTTGTGACATCGGGGGTGACGTTTTCTCTTCTCCGATCTTATAAAAGAACCATACAGCCGCTATAGCAACAACTCCTACTAGTGCCCAATAATCGGATGACTATTTGAATTATGCATTAGTTTCGCTTTCCTCGCAACCCTCCCCCCCCCCCCCTCCATCCTACCAGCGGCGATTTTTCTGGGATTCTTAGTAACTCTGGCTTGTTTTTGTGTTTGTGGTATTTCCTCATTCACTATCTGTTGTGTTTGTGTTGCAATCGGGGTTATTTCCTCGTTCACAATCTGTTGTGGTGTCACTTGTTGAGTCTCCATTTATATTATTAAGTGGGCATGTATGTTTAAATTGACAATACCTAGCCGTTATTAAAGCTGTGGTGAGTGGAGCTAAGAACATTCCGTATCTATGATAAAACTCACAGCTTACTGAGCTTATAGCGTGTTCGATGAATGTGTCTTTCTCGAGAGATTCACATAAATACATGCGCTGTTCTGCCGGGATAGGGAGAAACGTACTAGCTACGACTGTGTATAGTTGTAATATAGCCGACCCTATCGTTTTAGTCATGGTAGCTCCCAGTCTAGATTCGTAACGCGCGTATAGTTTTTTAATTTCTTCGTCGGTCATGTTATCAATTTTTTCGATGGTATAATTTTCCCCCAAATATTGGGAACATTTTCCACCGGCTACCAAAGCCGCAAGTCTTTCTCTATGTTTATCTAAAGATTTATCTGTCATAGGTTCTGGCTCATCTTTGAGCATTTGTTCGATGAGTTGGTCGCATTCCATAATGTAATACCTAAGGAGATATTTAAGCAATGAAATATGGCATATCCAATACAGCCCGTAATAATAAACTGTTGCGAAAGAATTGTCATATTAACCGCTAATGTTCAATTTATCGTATTGTTGTTATAATTTTGCTATATTTGCTATCTTTTTGCTATCTTTGCTATAATTTTGCCATATTTTTGCTATAATTTTGCTACATTTGCTATAATTTTGCCATATTTTTGCTATAATTTTGCTACATTTGCTGATTGATCGGTTTTACGAGTTTACAGTGCTTCGTTGCTGCTAACAGTTTTCTGACTTTATCTCGTTCGAGCTAGGTATAAATAACATCATTTTCGCGTAG